GCTGGCTGAGGAATTCTGGGAGTTGAAGTCCACAAGTCTTAAAGTTGCCAAGGTTGGACACCCCTGCTATAGAGAAAGGAACAGGCCAGGGGCCTCCATATGTGAGGTCAAAAAATGGTCAAAGTTGCTGGTTTTGATTGAGCCAGTCATGGATGCCACCTTGACTCCTTTAACCCCCAGGCCCTTCTCCAATAGCTCTTCCCAAAGACCTTACACCGCTACCTGTTCAGATCTAGCAATAACAAAAATAGAAGGGAATTAAATGCACCTCGGAGTTGAATGGTGCACTCCATCGTGCTCTCTGAACTTGGTGGCATTTCTTGCAGATGTTTCATCCCCAGACTAAGTAACATCATCAGTGCTAGCAATGACCCCCCCAAAAAATATTGTGGAAAATTGGCAAGACTCACTAAGACTCACTATTGCACTTCCCTGTTTTGGGTGATTTGTGAGATGCAGGATTCATAATGGTATATAATTTGCCCAGCCCACTGAATAAAAGCCACTAATTCTTTTTGCTTTTGATAAATCTTTCTCTGGCATTTCAGAGCTATCATTCAGCCCAAACCTCTCTTCCACCCGGCCAAGCCATTCAGTTCAGTGGCTGCTACTGGTTTCTTTCTAGGAAGCCCTTGGATGTCCCGGCACTGATAAATATACTGTTTCTGGCACAACAATGCTAATTTCACAACGTCATGGAAATGAGTACAGCGGTAAGCAAGACTTACGGAGTCTATGATTCCCTGGAGCGCTTCGAAACCATCATTCACAGGGAAGACGTGATCCTTGCTGTCAGCGATTCGAGCCAACTGGTTTTGGAGGGGGGGAGGGAAAAGTGGGTCAGCCAACAAGGACGCAAGGAAATGCTGGACACACACAGTCAATCAAATCCCAAGAGGCAGATGGCCATTGCACAAGAGGTGGAGACAATCGTTTACCAAGCTTTGTTGACATCCGTGTGTGTGTGTGTGAGAGTGTGTGCCTTTTGTTTCTTCCACGCTCATTTTTTCTCAGGATTTGCACTCATCACTACAGTAGGAGGATTTTAGTTTTTCCAAATACAATAGTGGGGGTGGTGGTGAAGGGGAATTAGCAACCCCACCCTTCAAGCAGAGAACTTCAATATAATAGGACAAAGTTTTGCAACTTCAGCAACTTTCAAATGTTGTGGACTTCAGGTCCCAGAATTCTGCCTGGGGAATTCTGAGAGATGAAATCCACATCTTTAACTTAAGCTGCTGAGACTGAGAAAAACTAGGATAGGATCCTGGCTGAACCCAGACCATAGTTTAAATTATTGCAGGAGAATGAATCCACGGAGTCTTTAGAGGCTACTTCCAGACTCTTTGGCAGCTGCCTAAAACCAAAATTCTTCCCAATCTAATCCTCAGAGTTTTCTTTAGCAAGATTTATTCAAATATGAGGAAAGGGGTTGTGAGAACTCCAGCAGCTGAATGGTTTCCTACTGAAAGACGTTTGGATCGATTTCATTTTTCTTTGTCTTTTTTCTTTTATTCCAGCCATCCTGGGATCTGTAGATATGTCAAGACCTTTTTCACAGGAAAAGGTGCCCCAAATCAAGATGGCGGCCGTGTCATGGCAGGAACAGATGTTACGCTTGTCAAAAAGGCTTTGATTCCATCGTCCTGGCCACTCTTTTGACATTTTGGAGCCATGTCCTGCCAATAATCCTGGCCTTCTGGCTCCCTTGAAAGCAATTTCGAATGAGGCTGAAACAGTGGTGGTATGCTACCTGTTTGGACCGGTTTGGCTGAACTGGTAGTTTTAAAAAGCCTCCCGCCATCAGCTGAGGGGATAAAGAAGAGAAAAGCTCAGGATTGGCCCTCCCACCGAACCCTGCGCCTTTCCCTTCTTTATCCTCTCAGCCTCCGTTGGTGTAGGGAAAGCTGTGTGCGCATGTTAGGTGCGCAGGTTAGGTGCACACATGCACCATCACCAAACCAGTAGTGGAACAGGTAGGGTCCCACGGCTGGACTGAAAGCTGTCACCCTTAAACCCAGCATTGCCCTAATGCAAGAAGATTGCAAAATTACCTGAGTTTCATTGAAGTCCTTCACACCAACACAATACACCGTTGCTCCCAGCTCACGGGACCGGTTGGCCTTGAACGAGAGGACAAAGCATTGGTTGCACCCCAAACAGCGTAAAGAAATTTCGTCACTCTTGGATGGGGCTTCCTAAGAACCATTTTATCTCCTGACCCACCTCACCTGCCTGCCTGCCACCTCAGCAGGGTAGGGGGGGGGACCCATCTTCAACCTGGTAGATTTGCTTTTCTGTTTGGGATGTAACCCATAATTATTATTAAAAAAAAGAGAGTCCTGGACTGAGGGAAGGAGAGGGAAATGCAATTGCTTCATCTTTGTGTCCACCTTCCTGGCCTTCCTTATCAGGTAGTTCTCAATTCACACTTCCCAGTTCCTAGCCGGGTGCCTTAACCACAACACCAAAGCAGCTACGCAAAAATATCTCTTCTAATTTCACCAAGGTCTCTCTCCCCAGAAAAGAAACTTCTGATTGTCTGCCTCCCCCTGTTTAAAAAAATTTACATTTCAAACATATTTTATTATTTTAGCTGGCAGGGATAGCTGCAGTTTGTGGTTCATTTGTTTCTTCCCCTACTCCGTATTTTTCCATTTTCCCTGCTTGGCTACCCAATTTAATAATAATAATAATAATAATAATAATAATAATAATAATAATAATAATAATAATAATAATCACCACAACAACAATAATAATAAGTGCCTGGAGACAGCAGAAGAGAAGAGAAGAGAACTGGAGAAGATAACAAAATACAAAGATCTACAAATAGAAATAGAACGACTATGGTAAAGGCAAGCAAGGGTAGCTCCAATAGTCATAGGCGCCTTGGGTGCAGTCCCAAAAGAACTGGAGCACCACTTGAACACCATTATCGGCATTGACACATTTGCCATCAGTCAACTGCAGAAGGCAGCTTTACTTGGAGCAGCTTCCATCCTGGGGCGATCTCTGTAATACCGTCAAACACCCAGATTTGCCTATCCCAGGTCCTTGGGAAGGACTTGATAGGCACACAAAAATGCCAACCCCAGTCTGAACATCTGGCTGACTGTGCAATGAATAATAATAATAACAACAAAAACAACAACAAAAACAATAAAATTAAAAATAAATAAAATAAAAAATAAAAATAAATAAAAAATAAAAATAAATATAAAATAAAATAAAATAATAAAATAAAATAAAATAAAAAAATAAATAAAAATAAATAAAATAAAAATAAAATAATAAAGTAAAATTTCTCTCCTGGTGCTTCTCTTTAACATTTTCTGACCAGAGAAGTCAGTTTGCTGCACTGTACTATGCAAGATTGGTTGTCCCCCTAGTTTCTTGGTCACCTCAGAATCGTATTACTGTCAGGAGCTTCTTCTCTGGAACGGAAATGACGGGGAGACAGGAGAGAGGGGAATCAGTCTGCCTTTTCTGCACAACAATAATAATTATGACTGTAGAAGAGGGCTAAAATTACGCGTCTCCTGACGTAGGCCTTGTCCCTCGTAAGGCGGCTCAATTCCCTAAAAGCACCCTAAAAGGAGGGAGGGAGGATAAATCCGGCCAATTCCCTCCGAATGCTTCAGGCAGGGAGGATGGGCCGTGATAGCTTTCTGCAATCTGATGCCCTCCAGATGTGTTGCAGACTAAGAATTCCCTGAAAGCATCTGGATTGGGGAAGGCCAAGTTGTGCACGGGTGGATTTCTCTACCCCTGTGCTCTTATCTTTTTTTTTTTCTTTTTTCCACAACACAGGGAAGTTAATGTGCTCTGCCCATCCTGGAGCCCAGTTCGTCTTGTTTCTCTAACTGCAGCGACAGCACTGAAAATTTGTATGACTGAAAAACAGTGACCATAATCCTTCTAAAAGATGTTGCAATGCATCTGCTGAATCCTGAAGTATTTCATTTTTGCAGTCAAGAGCTGACACTGGAGGGAAGAGAGCGGCAACATTTTCCTTGTTTTCCAAGTCCCTGGGCGCTAGCACCGGGAAAGAAATGCACTGGGTTTATATTTCATTATGTGCTTTCTTCATGCATACTTCCCAGAACTGGGCGGGGGGCAGTTAAACAAAATGAATGCTCAAGAGGACTTGGAGGAGAAAAAAAATGAAGCAGAATCTGGTTGATGGGAGGTAAGATGGGAAGAGAAAAAAAAATACAGCAACATTGAAATAAATAAATCTGCCCCCTCCAGCCCTTGCAAAGTGGGGGTGCAGAGGTGGGAGTGCAGTGCATTTATAGGAGAGGTTGCAAACACAACATTGAAAGACATTAAGTGCTATGCAAACTTCTCGCTCCGCCTCATCGTGACATTTCCCAAGAGAATAGCCAATTCATCTGCACATTTTACTTTATTTAAACATTTATATCCTGCCCTTCTAATGCATTTTCCCCTGGAAAACGAGCGTGTGAACTGTCAGGTTGTGACTCTTAAGCTTGTCTGGGCAAAGTTCTCTTGTTTGCAACCGTCTCCAAAAATAAAAGCGAGCGAAAATGACATGCCGGTTGTGAGCCTCTGAGGTAAACAGACAAAACAAATGTCTGCAAAATTTGTGCCATCAACTTCAACAGATGTCTCTCTCTCTCTCTCTCTCCCTCCCTCCCTCTCTCTCTGCAAACCGAAGATAAATTAACATTAAGAATGCATTCCTTTCCTTTCCTGAGAAACCCCCAAAAGTAGAAAGTCTGCAAAGGAGAAGATCTGTTAGTTATGGGCATGGTTTGATTGAGGTTTCAACAGGAGTTGAAATTTTAAAAACAACCTGCTTCTGGGTGTATAGGAGGGACACAACTTTCCCTGGGAAGAGCAACTTGTGTGTGTGTGTGTGTGTGTGTGTGTGTGTGTGTGTATCATTCCATTCATCCCAGACTTTCAACGCAAGGCTCCTACCTCTTGTTCAGAATAGAAGAAAAGGTCTTCATGAAGTTCTCCGTCCGTCAAGGCAATAATGACACTGGCGGTCCTATAACCTGATGAGGGAATCCATTTGCAGAAGTAGAATTAATGGTCAAGGACAATAAAACAACCAGCTACCATCTGCTTCTACTCAAACATGATGCCGTATACCTGGTGCTGTTTGCAAACTGTCATAGAAGTTTCCTTCATGTTTTACTACAACAGAGGTCTCCAAACTTGGCAACTTTTAAGACTTGTGGACTTCAACTCCTAGAATTCTTGTGTACTTCATATCTGGCTGGAGAATTCTGGGAGTTGAAGTCCATAAGTCTTAAAGTTGCCAAGTTTGGAGACTTCTGTTGTAAACCCTAAACTTCTAGGTCAAGGGTCTTCCAACTTGGCAAGTTTAAGACTTGTGGACTTCAACTCCCAGAATTCCTGAGCTAACATGACTCGAGGAGGAATTCTGGGAGTTGAAGTTCACAAGTCTTAAAGTAGCCAAGTTTGGGGACCCCTGTACTACAACATGAAGACAGTCACGTTTGCACAAACTCAGGTTTATGCAAACAACTAAATGTTTAATAGAGTGGTTAAATACAATGGCTAGAAACAGTGTTCCAACCTTGGGCACGGATGTTGGCTTTTGCCAGTGCCTCTCTCTCTCTCTCTCACTCTCACTCTCTTGGTCCTGGGAAGAAGACGGTGACGCCAAACCACTTCTGGCAATGTTGCCAAGAAAACTGTGGGGACTCATCAAATGTCAGGGCTGACTCAAAGAAGAGAGCCAGTTTGGTGGAGGCACCAGACTGGAAACTGGAATTCTTGGGCACTTGGGCAACCAGTTGCCAAGAGTCCAGAACGACTTGAAGAGGTGCCAACACCCGCCCACGTGCACGTTTCATAGGAAAGCAGGCACCATTCAGGCTCTGTAGTGAATATATTAGCATGTTTTCCAAAGCATCCTGCTTACTTACCCGATAGGTCTACATTTGGGATACAAATCCCAAAGGTGCTTTTTTTAGGAGGCAACTGGACTTTCTGGTGTTTTTTTTCTTTTGAAGATGTTTCATTTTTCATCCAAGAAGCTTCTTCAGCTCTGACAGGGCAGTGGGGAATGGAAGGATTGATATTCCTTGCAGACAGCTGGTCATTTGCATCCTTTGAGAGGGTCGTTAAGGACACTTGGAGGTTTCTCTGTGTCCTCAGGGTCACCTGAGTGGTGCTCCCGGTCCCTATAGTCCTCTGGGAATCCATTCCTACTCCCACACCATTCAAAGGGGGTTTTCATCCCAAATTGGATAGCTAAAAGTCTGTAGAGATTCTCAGTCATCCAGGACACAGATAAACCTCCAAGTGGCCTCAACGACCCTCTAAAAGGATGCAAATGACCAGCTGTCTTCAAGGAATATAAATCTTTCCATTCCCCACCATCCTGTCAGAGCTGAAGAAGCTTCTCGGATGAGAAGCGAAATGACTTCAAAGAAAAAAGCAGAAAGTCTACTTGCCTCCTGAAAAAGCACCTTTGGGACAACCAGGACCTGGATGGCTAAGAATCTCTACAGATTTTTGAGATATAACCATGCATGATTTTTAAAAAATAAGCACATATGTGTGTGAGTGTTCATCTTAATGGATGCCTGCCCGAAGATCAAATTGTGGAGCTGATCCCCTGGAAGGAACTGTGGTCCCTTCCAGACCATCTGGGGATTTGGGTTTTACGGCGGGAATATGACTGGCTACTTCACAGTAAACTGGGCCACCAAAGCAAGGGACAAACGAAGTGTTGTTAGAAGTGTGCACAAAGTAAATTGAGGTAACTTGGTGAGAGAGAGAGAGAGCGTACACATTGTACCAAGCATCTGTGCAAAGGCAAGGTGGGCCCAGGTTCACTCCATAGAATCATAGGCTGGAAGGGACCTTGGAGATCTTCTAGTCCAACCCTCCACCCAAGGCAGGACAGTTTATACTATCCTGGTCAAATGTTGGTCCAATCTCTTTTTACCAAAAGTTGATGCTGCCTAGGACTGTACTGGCTTTTTTGGCAGCTCATATTTAAGCAGTGATCCACCCAAACCTCCTTCACAGTTATTACTATTCATAATAGTAATTACTATTACCTTCTTCGTTAAGTATTAGTTATAATAGTTAACTTATAATAGGAAATTATGACTATTAATAATAGTATGGCTATTACTTACTCACTCAGGCAGGGAAAACCAAATGCAGAGGTAACAAAATAAGTGGTACCTGGCTTAAGAGCCAGTTACCATCTATTCTGTACTTATGCATTTGGGTTTTTTCTGCCTCAGTGCGGCAGCTTTTCTCACCACTGAACTGCATCTTGTTGGATAATTGTTGGATTCAGCTCTTCTACCCTGGCACCTGTACAATAGTTCCACGGGAATCACATCTTGAAAGAATTCTGAACTTTGTCTTTTCCTGTGTGCTTAAATCAGAGGTCCCCAAACTTGGCCACTTTAAGACTTGTGGACTTCAAGCTACGCTGGCTGGAGAATTCTGGGAGTTGAAGTCCACAAGTTTTAAAGTGGCCAAGTTTGGAGACCTCTGGCTTAACTGGATGTGATCTCTTCAGAGAACTGTAAATTCACATCAAGCTGAACTCTGCCTCACCTTTTATTAAAAATTACAGATGGGGTGTAGGAGAAACAATTTACCCAGAGCCATGCGTTTATTCCTTTTCCCAAGAGGGAAGCGTTGAGATGGCTTCAGGGCAGGACGGCCCATCACGAAGAGACAACCTATTATCATTCCAATTACAACATGCCATCCGCAAAGAAGGCAGAATTACTGCCCAAAGGTGTTCTTATCGTCCCAAGACTGAGCCTGGCCTGGGCTTGTCCATGGTCTGCCTTTCCAATGATCACACCACAGCGAAGAAGCAATTAAAGTTAATTTGGTTGCTGCTGTCAACCCGACATGCTCAAGTTAACATACTGCTGTTATGAAAGTGAAGATAAGGATTCTGTCTGAAGGGAAAAAATGTTCCAGTAATTATCAGTCTTTGTCAAATATCAAAAACGGCTACAGGGAATTTTCTACTTTGGAGAAGAGTAGCTGGGTATCAAATGACTGCATTTTCCAGAGAGGGTGATGGTATATTAGGCAGGGAACAAAACAGAATAACAGAGTTGGAAGGGACCTTGGAGGTCTTCTAGTCCAACCCCCTGCCTAGGCAGGAAACCCTACACCACTTCAGACAAATGGTTATCCTACATCTTCTTAAAAACTTCCAGTGTTGGAGCATTCACAACATCTGGAGACAAGTTATTCCACGGATTATTTGTTCTCCCTGTCAGGAAATTTCAGGTTCTAGGTTGCTTCTCTCCTTGATTAGTTTCCACCCGTTGCTTTTTGTCTTGCCTTCAGGTGCTTTGGAGAATAATTTGACCGCTTCTTCTTTGTGGCAGACCCTCAAATATTGGAATACTGCTATCCTGTCACCCCTAGTTCTTCTTTTCATTAGACATACCCAATTCCTACAATCGTTCTTCACCTGTTTTAGTCTCCAGGACCCTAATTATTTTTGTTGCTTCTCTACACTCTTTCCAGAATCTCAACATCTTTTTTATAACGGGGTGACCAAAACTGGATGCAGTATTCCAGTGTGGTCTTACTAAGGCTTCATAAAACAGGATTAACACTTCACGAGATCTTGATTCTATCCCTCTGTTAATGCAGCCTAGGATTTAACAAAGATCATTTTACACCAATTTCATTTTAAATTGTTTTTAATCAGATTTTAGTAATCATTTGTGTCTGAAACCCAAGGGCCAATCAATGAAGTAAACTCAACTCAATTAAGGAGCAAAAAGTAATTACTGCCACTTTATTGAATGTATTCTTACCTTGAACATTTTCGTGGTAAATTTGCTCACTGGCCTAAAACAGAACCAAGGAGAATGATAAGGATGTGAAGTACGAATGGAGTTTAGTTTCAATCGCCCCTGGCAAGAATATGGTGCCACCCACTGAGAAGCAGACAGGGAAGAGACGGAGGGGGGCAGCGGTCCAGCCACAACCACAGGGCCAAACAAAAGACAAGTTGGACCTTGTGACCGTGTGGTTGGAGCCTCATCCCCAGGTGTATCTTACGTGGAAAGCCTAATGAAAACTGGCTGGGGCTTTGATGGCATGGTGCAGGGGTGGGATTCTACCGGTTCGGACCGGTTCAGTAGAACCCCTTGCGCCAAAGATCAGCTGGGAGCGAACCGGTTCGCTGCGACGAGTATATGGGCCCACCCGCCTGTCCTTGTTCTTTCCTGTGATTTATTTCCTTTTGCCACAGCTCAGCTGTTTTATTCACAGGGACTCCTGTAGAAAATATGTATTAGAGCTTTTTTAAACGTGCAGTGCGTGGGCAGAGCCCGCATCTGGTGCGTGCGCAGTGGGATTCAATTTTTTTTACTACCGGTTCTGTAGGCGTGGCCTGGTGGGCGTGGCAGGGGAAGGAGACTGTAAAATCTCCAGTCAGAGGTGGGATCTGCTGGTTCTTCCACTACCGGTTCTCCAGAACTGGTCAGAACCTGCTGAATACCCACCTCTGATGCACACGCAAAGTGCGCGATCACCAAACCGGTTGTTATACTAGTGGAATCCCACCCCGGGCATAGTGGCAATCGACATCTTGCTGTCTTTCACACACCTACTTCCCAGGAGTGGGTCTAAACATTTTTTTTAGCAACAGGTTCTCTGCCTGGTTGCTGGCTGGGGGTGACCATGGTGGGCGTGGCCTAGTTGGCCTCCTGCACCGCGGCCGGGGGGGGCGTTTTTACCCTCCCCAGACTCCAGAGGATTTCCTCGTGACTCTAGGAGGGTGAAAATGGCTCCCCTGGGCTCCGGAGGCTCTTTGGAAGCCAGAAACGGGCCCATTTCCGGCCTCCCCAAACTTCTGGGAGGCCCGTTTTTTGCCCTGCGTTTACCTGCGTCCAAAATGGGCCACATGGGGACTCCTGGGAGGGAAGGAGAGGGGTGGGCGGGGCTAGCCAGGAGTGGGATTTGGGGGTTCTCTGAACTGCAGAGAATCTCAGCTAGGGGGCTCTCACTGAACCCCTGCGAGCTCCTAGCGGCCCAGCCCTGCTCCTTCTCATGGACGCTGCCTGCCCTCTGCCTGGAGCACCCACTGCAAAACCAAGATGTAACTTCTCTGTTCTTATTTACCCTTTCAAATCCTTCGTGCATGTAGGTGTCCCCTCCAGGCAGGACCTTCTGAAGCTCATCTAACCCTTGACGGATTTTTTCCCTGGAAGAGCAGAAGAGACGGTCTTTGGTTAGAGAGAACGTGGGTACAGATTCACAGAGTTGGAAGGGACCTTGGAGGTCATCTAGTTCAACCCCCTGCCCAAGCAGGAGACCCTATACACCATTTCTGACAAATGGCAGTCCAGTCTCTTCTTGAAAGCCTCCAGGGATGAAGCTCCCACAACTCCTGAAGGCAACTTCTGTTCCATGGGTTGATTGTTCTCCCTGTCAGAAAGTTTCTCCTTATTTCAAGGTTGAATCTCTCCTGGATCAGTTTCCATCCATTATTCTTTGTCTGGCCTTTGGGTGCCTTGGATAATAGCTTGACCCCCCCCCCCCTCCGGGGCCGCCCCTCAAATATTGGAAAACTGCTCTCCTGTCTCCCCTGGTCCTTCTCTTCCCTAGACTAACCATGCCCAGTTCCTGTAACCGTTCATCTTATGTTTGAGCCTCCAGTCCCCTCATCCTCCTGGTTGCTCTTCTCTGCACTTTTTCTAGAGTCTCAACCTCTTTCTTTATAGCGTGGTGACCAAAACTGGATGCAGGACTCCAGGTGTGGCCTTCCTAAGGCTTTACAGAGTGATATTAGTATCTGCTACGGGCAAGATAGCGATGCCAGAGAAGTCCCAGCTCTGAACTCTCCCCACTGTCTACTCGAAATAAAACATTTTGCAATGCTGTGGCGAGAGGGAAACTTTGAGGAAAACTATTATTATCTCATTGTACAGAGACAGCCAGAACGGCGAGGTGGCTGATAACTATTTTGCTTTCTAGGCATGGGAAAAATTCTCTCCCCTATTAGGACTCACATCTCTTTTTTTTTTCCTTTATTCTTTCCTGCCTCTCTCGAAGATAAAAGTGCCTGGCAACCTGTGAGCAACATTTCCAGAATCCTGAGAAAGCCCAAAGGGAGGGAAAGGGGGGAGACAACTGGACTCCCCAATATCTGCAGAAACACAAGTGGGAAAAGCCTTTGGGTCCATCTGTGGCAATTCCCCAACAAGCAATGAGGTGTCAGATTTGCCCCTCCCTCCCTCCTCTTCTCTTACTCTTGTAATGCTACTGCATTAAAGCAGGGAGGGTCTCCAACCGTGGCAACTTTAAGCCTGGCGGACTTCAACTCCCAGAATTCCCCAGCCAGCAAAAAATGGCTGGGGAATTCCGGGAGTTGAAGTCCACCCCCCATCTTAAAGTTGCCAAGTTGGGAGACCCCTGGACTAAAGGATAGAAACCTAACTTGTGAGGAACAAGGTATGCTGTAAGAGAGACAAAGGCAAGGTATTACATCCAGGGAGGGAAAATGTAGAATATTTCTCTCTCTGTGTGTCTCTCCCTCCCTCCCTCTCTCATCTATCTATCTATCTATCTATCTATCTATCTATCTATCA